CTGGGCTCGTTGACGACGAGGACTTGGGGACGCATTAATTCGTCACGTCCTGAGTCCATCAGCTTAGGGACAGATGTCCCACCAGTTACTCCAGGTTCGAAGGGCGGGTGGACGCAGTATCTCTACCTTTATCTGCTGACTTCTACGACGACCGTACTTTTGGAATTTCTATTCAACCTGCATGCCTATTCCGGGTCCTTACGTGCCTCTCGATCACTGTTCCGCGCGGCTACGTTTAGAGTCCTCCGAATGCCCCTACACTGGCTCGATAGCACACCTATTGGAGAGATACTCAGGCGGCTCACTGTTGATGCCAAAAATGTTGATGATTATGTTTTGGTCACCATGTCTGAATTTGCGGACAACTTTGTTAAGATGATGTTGATTGTGTGTGTGGGGTAAGATGCATCTTTACAGGAAACCAAAATTGTTCGCTGATTTATTCAGGTTCAATACGTCTAAGTATATGAGTCTGCTGACATTGACTCTCCTCTACTGGTGTACAAAAGTTAGCAAGCTCTATATAAAAGCACGGACGACCGTCAAACGAGCCGACTCGGAAGCAACTGCTGCTATACTTGAACAATTTACATCCTCTGCAGCAGGGGTCATGACGATCCGGGCCTTTGGTGCATCAGATCGGCTAGCTGCACATATGCATGGGCACATTGATAGATTGTCTACGGCTAGAAGATACTTCTTCATATTTAACCGCTGGCTTAGTCTTCAAATGTCTCTCATCGGCGTTATTTTCAGCATTGGCACGGGTATTATCCTGTTGTCAACTTCTGCAGCCGATGCATTTTGGATCGGCTACTGCCTCAGCTATTCTATGCAGTTATCCCAGGCTATGTTCAAGGCCATCAATAATTTTGGGATGCTTGAAACCTACATGAACTCAGCAGGAAACATTATAGCGTACACCGAGCTGGAGCCAGAAAAGCAAGGTGGCTGCGAAGCCCCTAACAACTGGCCATCGCTCGGGAATATTGAGGTCAAATCACTTGGCGCTTCCTACGCACCGGGGCTCCCACTTGTTCTGGAAGACGTGTCGTTCAGTGTGAAGGGTCATGAAAGAGTTGGCATCGTAGGTCGGACTGGAGCCGGGAAATCGTCACTAACACTGGCCCTGTTGCGTCTAATTGAACCCCAGCATGGTTCAATAGTTGTTGACGGCATTGACATAACCACCCTGGCACTCCGGACCCTCCGATCACGAATCGCATTTATTCCTCAAGATCCAGTACTGTTCTCCGGAACCGTGCGATCTAATTTAGATTACAGCCATCAAACTTCAGAAGACAGACTCAATGATGCCTTACAGCGCGTCAAGTTGCTCAGGGATGACCCGGAAGATGAAGACTCTGGACTCTTCACACTTGACTCGCGGATAAGTGCTGGAGGAGCCAACATGTCCCAAGGTCAACGACAGCTCCTCTGTCTGGCACGGATATTGATCAGTAATCCCAAGATCATCATCCTCGATGAGGCTACTTCAGCAGTAGATGATGAGACGGATCGGTGGATTCAGGATACTATGAGGAGCCAGTTTAGCGGGACATTGATCGTGGTTGCGCATCGACTGAGGAGAATCAGCTCGTTTGACAAGGTGATTGCTATGAGTGAAGGGAAGATTGCCGAGATGGGGTCACCGGCTGAGCTATTAAGGAAGGAGGGGTTGTTCTATGATCTTGTTCAGAGTAGTGAGGACCGGGAGTACTTGATGGAGACGATTGGATGATAGACATGGAGCCTCGGGATGGAGTTGATGGGAAATTGAGCTGAGCATCTCGGCATTCAAGCCACACAGATTGACTTTTCCAATGGCGCTACCTTGAAATGTTCGAGACTAGACCGGGTGGCTGGCGAAGGAAGCCGGCTTTAACCGTCGAGTAAACCAATCCTACTCAGTTGAATTACGGACAGCTAACTAGTCAAAGACAAAGACGGGAGACGATAAGTCTTGACCCTCGAAAATCACGAGCTGATAAGTAAGTAGTAAGCACAAGTAGTAATAAAACATCGCAGGGAACGGAGAGGATATCAACTTATCGCCAACCCCGCCTGATATGGCTCTTGGCAAGCCGGGCAGTTAGGTAACAGATATTCGCCGTCGGGGGTGCCGCCAAGGCCGCCAAGCCATGTGCGTGCCCCGCGGGGATGGCATTTCGGTCAATCCCGGTGCATCTTAAGGGGAAAATGGCACCTGTCCCATGGGCGACAGCTGAGTCTGCCACTAGACAACGAGCGCTGGGTGGTTACTGCGTATCTTTGGCAAGATAAGAACTGGTTTCTGTTATGCTTCGCCAAGCCCGTCCGCTCTCAACCCGGCCAATGGTGGACTTTGTGTATCGTCATGGCGGCATCAGATCGCGACTGATTACTTCCAACTTTGGGCTCTGATCGAGAAAAGGACCCGATGGAGATGATCTGACCGATGCTACCCTGAACCAGGTGACCTGGATTTATCCTCGTAACGGTACGGTGGCTGAGGCTAGGTACTTAGTAACCTAAATGGAGTATGGGGTAGAGATGGATCTAGTATCTAGTAGGGATTAATTGTAGCAGTAGTAACTTTTACTTGGAAAATACCCAGGCCGAGTATGTTTGCTTTGCCTTCCTTTCACTTGCCCTCTTCTTTTTTTCCTTTTTCTTCTCCTCATTCCTTCCCCTCAGCTGCTCCTCCTCACACAACCCCCCATCCCGTTGCGCTGTGCAGACGTTCCCCGATCATCGCGTTTAATCTCGTTAGCTCTCTCGCTCTTTTCATTGCGGTGCAGCGATTGCGTCTCACTTCAAGAAATGGGCATCAGAGAAGATGGCTCCGCCGACATGCCCACCGAGAAACGACAATACGTGACGGATTATGGCAGCGGCGAGGATACCGTTGAGGCTGCTCCTGGCGACCATGATCTGCATCGTGCCTTGAAGGCTCGCCATATCTCCATGATAGCCATTGGGGGTGCAATTGGCACAGGTCTCATCATAGGAACTGGATCTGCTCTCGCAAAGTAAGTCGGACCGTCACTTGCAGTTTTGTCCCACGCTAATCAGTTGTCTAGGGCTGGTGTAAGTACTCCATAACAACTCGCATAGAATCTATTGATCTGACTCGCACAGCCCGCCTCTATCCTCATATCCTACTCGGTTGTTGGCTTTGTTGTATACCTTGTCATGTGCGGCCTGGGAGAAATGGCTGCCTGGCTCCCATTGTCATCCGGCTTTACAGGTTACGCTGTGCGATTCTGTGACCCTGCTCTTGGCTTCGCGCTTGGTTGGACGTACGAACCTCCCTTTACCCTCGCTTTAGCCTATTCTCTCTAGTGCCACCGCTGACTCGGGCTTCTTGCACAGCTACTGGTTCAAATACATCATTGTCACACCCAATCAACTCACTGCTGGCGCACTCGTGATATCCTACTGGATAGACACAAGCCGAGTCAACGCAGGTGTTTGGATAACCATATTCCTTGTTCTGATTGTCACCATAAACTACTTTGGAGTCCGCTTTTTTGGCGAGTTCGAGTTCTGGCTCTCCTCGTTCAAGGTTATCGTCATCCTGGGTATCATCCTCCTCTCTTTTATCCTCATGCTCGGTGGTGGACCCGATCATGACCGCAAAGGGTTCCGCTACTGGAAAGATCCCGGCGCCTTCAACACTTACATCGATGATGGCCCAGCCGGCCGCTTCTACGCTTTCTGGGCCACCATGGTCTCCGCCACCTTTGCCTACCTCGGCACCGAGCTCGTGGGTGTGACGGTGGGCGAAGCTGAAAATCCCCGCAAGAGCATCCCCAAGGCCATCAAACTCACCTTCTTCCGCATCGTTGTATTCTACATTCTTTCCGTACTACTCGTCGGCACCCTGGTTCCCTACAACTCCAAGGAACTCATCTTCGCCACGAACCAATCCAGCTCCGCCGCGGCCTCCCCCTTCGTCGTGGCCATCCAGCTAGCAGGAATCCCCGTCCTCCCTCACATCCTCAACGCCTGCATCCTCCTCTTCGTCTTCTCCGCCGCCAACTCAGACCTTTACATTGCAACCCGAACCATCTACGGCCTCTCTAAAGAAGGCAAAGCTCCCAAATTCCTCTCCAAAACCGACCGTCGCGGCGTCCCCGTCTACGCCCTCATCCTCTGCGCCTGCATCGCATGTATCGCCTACATGAACGTCTCCAGCGACTCTAAAACCATCTTCCGCTACTTCGTCGACCTGGTCACCATCTTCGGCCTCCTCACTTGGATCTCCCTCCTCGTAACACACATCTACTTTGTGCGCGCGCGCAAGGCCCAAAACATCCCGGTATCGGACCTGGCGTACCGCGCCCCCCTTGGCACCGCGGGCTCCTACGTCGCCCTGGTCTTCTGTATCATCATCTGTCTTACCAAGAGCTACGACTGTTTCACTCACAACAAGAAATGGGGTAACTTTGATTACAAGACCTTTATTACGGCATATTTGGGAATCCCCTTATACTTGATTCTCATCTTCGGGTATAAGCTTGTCACGAGATGTAAAGGAGTTAGCCCGTACGAGGCAGATTTGTTCACGGGCAAGGATGTCGTGGACCGGATGGAGGAGGAGTATTATCGCCGGGAGGCTATTAAGGAGGAGACGGAGGGCAAGGCTGGGTGGTTTTATCGGAAGTTTGTGGCGTGGTTGTTCTAGTTTTGTTCTATTTTCCCCTTATGCATTTCTTCTCTTCCGCTTTTGTTTTCTTGTACTTCTCGCTGCTGGGCGTCAGGGATGCGAAAGGCTCATTCTTACTAGATGAAGGATGATGTTCGTGTGTTAGGCTACTTGATCTAAAAAATTGCCCGGCGGGGGTTCATTACATGCATCGGAAAGATACCTAACGAATGAATGTATGACGATAATCATGATACACGGCACCTGGGTAAATAGTGCAGTGAAGTTGATTATATGAGAGTTAATTTCCAGTTTTTTGCCGATTAGATACATTACAGTATAATTGAAACATGATTAGTTACTCGGGTCCAATACTTGGTAGGACGATTCATTGAATTACTCTGTGTTTAATTATGTAGAGAACACACCTAAGCGGTATAGGCTATAGGCACGTGGAAAAGACACTATCTAAGATGTAAGGGAGATTTGATAGACAGAACATGATAAACATGTCCATCAGTCCCGCAAAGCCGTCATTAGTCGTTATTGATCGTCATCAAAAGGAGAGTATATGGGTGGGGAGTCATATAAATAGGTTTAATTAGTTTGTTTGTTCATCGTCAGCGTCGTCGCCGGAATTCGAATGTGTGTTCGGTGGCCCAATATGCATCTTCCTTCTCTTCTTCGTCATTATCGTCTTCAAAGTCCTCTTCCTCCACAATCACCCATTCCTCGTCTTCGTCCGCGTCTTCGTCCGCGTCTTCGTCCTCGCCGGTGTGAGGTACTGGGTCGTTGGCGTTGTGTAGATATGCCGGGGAGCGGTCATTAGAGTTTGGATAGCGGGTGTCCAGATCCGACTCCTCCTTTGACAGATCGAAGAGTTCTGATTCCCAATCGACGTCGAATGAGTCGCCCCCGATGAGGAAGGATCCTAGCTTCAGAACGACATTGTAGATCTCCTTGCCGGTGGGAATGATGTGTTCGGAAGGGAGGAGGAACCCGTAGCTCCCGCGATCACGAAGCTTGATCTGATACGAAAAGGTCGCGTGCACTTGGTGGTAGAACCAGTCTAAGGCACTGCCACCAGAGTTGCCGCCAATGGGGAAGAATCGCCCGGGGTTGGTGTCTGCCGCACTGGCAGTGACGATGCCTTCGCAGGCGGATGTGACATCGTAGACTTCGTGAGTCGCGTAACGAATAGCCTTGGCTAGGCCTAGGCCTAGTTCTTCCAGGGTCTCAAGTGTTGGGGGTATCGACGAGCAGGAGTAGGAGAAGGGATAGAGAATTGTTTGAGAGTAAGAGTGAAGGTCAAGGAAGCTCACGATGTCAGCATTGTTGTTTTGCGTCTCATTGAGCGCCCACTGTGCCAATTGCTGTGCTTCCATGCCCTCGAAAGGCTCGTCTCCAGCATAATTTTCGGAACAAGGGTTCGCGCGGGTCCGACCGCCATCCCATTCGAAGCCCCAGGCGCGGTCAAGGTCGATCCCGGGACAGAAGCGTAGGCTGGTTCGCTGTCGATTCTTGCGCCATAGTCGGTCCGTCTCCCAGGTATAGACATAGCCGTCGGGATTGATCGTGGGGATCATGACCCAGTCAAAGTCCTGTAGAAGGCGGGTGACGGCCTTGGATTTCCCGTACTTCGTAATGAGAGTGTACATGACATGGTTTACGGTTGAGGTGCCGATCCATTCGCGAGCATGGCTACCACCCGTGACGATGATGGTTTTACGAGGGCCTGACGCCGCGGTGGAGCTGCCTGCGCTCAGTCGGAGGGCGGGAATTTCGCGACCCTCGTAAGATACTCCAATGCTAATCATGCGCACATGTGATGGAAACATGGAAGCTAGTAGGCGCATCCATGGAACAATGACGGACAGAGGCTGATACTCGTGGAAGAAAAGGTCGCCAAATTTCGGCGCAGGCCGATTTGAGGGCGCAAATCCGGATTGTCCTTCAAGCCCTATGGGCTTTTTCGATGGATAGGTCGTATAGATTCTCTCTGCCAAGTTTTCTATCAGGGGGGTATATGCAGTCTGGAGGGAATTTGGTAGTAAGCCCAATAACGAGGGGATCTAATGCGAGGGTCACAGCGAATCAGTCATCAGTCACCAGGCAGATGCGGACGGAAGGATAATCCACTTACGACTTCCTCGGCCAGCCGGATATCTACGAATGCTGGAGTAGACGCCCATACGTCCAGGAATAGAATGTCTGCGGCCTGGGCCAGTGCTTCGGCCTCATCGTGATCGCGCAGGCTGAAACGAAGTACGACGTCACTACCGTAGCGCGCCAGGATCCGGGAGGGAGGAGAGCGATTGCGCGGGGAATCGTTGAGTGGGAATCGACGAGAAGCGGGTTTTTCAATGCCCCATATGGACTCGATAACCCAGTCACGGAGGCGAGTCCATGGCCTTCGGGGATCAGAAGGCTGGGAAGAGAGAAGGTGAACGGGTTCGACGGGTGGTTGTGGAGTGATAATGGAGCCGGCGGGGACGGCGGAGACCAGGGCGGCCGATGCGATCAGAAGCACGAGCAGTGATAAGAGGTGACGCATATTGGATGTTGAGTACGCCAGGGTTATATAGTAGTTACCGAGTCATCTCCTTCAGAAAACCTAAAAAGACAGACAGAAGTTTGACAGGGAACAGATGGAGAAGGATGGAGTCAGAGGGAAGAGAAGTGGTGCACGAGAGCAGTGAGTTAGAGAGAGGAGAGAGAGAGACCGAGACGGAAGGAATGGTGGGTGTGACTTGGTAAGGGTAAGTAGGAGTGGAGACGAGGCGGTGCTGTATGCCTCAGGCATGAATTATGGCTGCACCTGGACTGTCTCCCCACAATACCAGGAATACTACCAAGTATTCGAACTCTGGAATCAATAATCGGCTGAACTTGGCTTCATTTCATCTTCAATTTCTATAGAGTAGTAAACTTTGTATAACTGACTCTTTCACTGAGTCGGAGAGTTGAACCTTACATGAAGAAGGCTGAGATATAGCATAGAAGAAATTGTGCCATAGTCAGCACACGCTTGAACAGAAGGTGATAGAGATGCCGAGGTATAATTTCTGCAGCCACCACGAGCTGGACAAGAGCTAGTCTAGCACTTAAAAGGACCACGATCGAAGATTAGGCTAAGTCGGCGAGGGCGAATGCAGCCATAATTGAAGTTTGGAGAGGATCGAATGGATGCCCGCATTGGATGGCCCGGGAACTATTCCTGTTCCGACTAGCTTACAGCTGCGGACAGTCAGTGCTTCTAACCATTCTAGGACTAGTGGCCATGTCACGCCCCGGTTGGCTCCGCTGACCCGCCATTCCGGATTAGGCAAGGATGTCTGCGCTTCTGCTCTTCCGAACACTTCTCTCTTTCTGTATGTAGTGTCCCAGAAGGCATCAAACAAGAAGAGTCTACAGGTATATTTAGTGAGAGAAAGGTTCCTCTGATACAAGGGCTGTGCGGGTGTCTTGGCACTAGCAGTTCGCAAAGCCTTACCTGGCTCGACAGGACCACACATAGCATGCCTCTGATGATCCATGAAGGTGTCACCAGAAGACGAAGGCTATGGTAGATACAGAGTGACTGACAGTCAAACTATCGTACACTATAACTATGAAGGCATCTTCTCGGATTCGCTATCTGGGCTTTTCACGACGGTTAACATGCCTCGCTAAGATCAGAGGTTTTCATGGATCGGACTCAAATGGGACGTGATGGGACACTCTTTGTGAGGCTCATTTGCTTACAATTCTCCAGACATCCTATGCTGGTTGTGTGGTGAAGGAGGGACTCTACCTATAGAAGCTGGTACACCACAATCAGTGGATGAAAGTCGAGACCGTGACTGATCTTGATGGTCTAGACCGTTCCCCACAGGAGTCCACCCAGCGTCGTCTGTGTGGCCGTACAGCCATATCATCGTACGTGTCAGACTCAATCCCTCCCAGAAAGACGAAGCAAAGGGATCGTACTCATACTTGGTCCCAAGAGCCAGAGTTGCAGCTTCCGGGCTTCTGTCTGGCCCTGCGAACATGGCCTTATATGATAAAGCGGTATCCCTACTACTCTCCAAGCATTGCTTGCATAGTTTGTCGATGTTGCCACACCAATTTGGCTAGCTGTGCTGAGCAATTATATGTCGTCATGATGAGTTTGAAGCTCTCGATCTATCGACGAAGGTGGTATACTGCTCGGAGATGCATTGTGTATCAATATTACTAGTTTCGGTATCTTGATACCTCAAATATCAGCTTACATAAATCCCAGTCTCCAGATATGAAACGAGCGGAACATGCAAAGTTCTATATATCCCCGGCATCATCGAGCACGGATTAACTCCAGTATGCACTACGTGGGATTTCATGGATAGAATTCGAGAAACATCAATAAATAAAAATACCTTAGTGAGCTGAAGTCAGTAAGTTATGAGCAAGATGCGGTTCCGTTCCTAATCCGAACCTTGGTTCGAAAGAGTCAGGATACCGACATCCAGACAAACTGCAGAAGTTCCTAACTGATCCAATTGAAAGGAACGCAGATGCCTAGAAGAACAAAGACTTGGCCTCCCGGCATCCAGCGGCAGCCAAGATGATGCAAATCAAGTTTGACCGGACAGACGAAAAAGGGCGATGGGGGCGACAATTGGGCGGCGGATCTGGCGGGCGAAAAGGATAGCCGGAGATGACGCCAGCGGTGGTCATGGCCTTGGGGCCTGACGTGGCCAGACCCCGGTCACGTGGCTGCATGGCTGGGGATGCGTGTGCAACTTGCAGCTCCATCGCTGCCGCCTTGCAGCTTTCTTCCTTATTTCCCGGTCTATAGTTTCATTCGTGGTTTCCACACAACAACAGAGACTTACATACATACAGGGTCTGGCTGTCAGGGTTGTGTCAAGGGCGAGTCGAGGGTCCTGCGATCAGCATAAGGCGGGAGGGAACTGCGGAAGGGGAACCAGCCAGCTCTTTGCGGCCAGGAATTAATTTCCCCCCCATACTGCCACTTTGGCTACTAGTGAAGGAACTAGTCTGGTTACTCCGGATGAGGGTATCTAGGGGCTGTTTGGAAGTTATAGATAGAAACAAATCCACTGGGAAACGATCCGAGGTTCTGCAGACCACACCCGATCGTAGACATATTTAGAGCAATGAAAGACATTGAGTGCTATTTACAATTGTTCTTAAGAATAGTGTTTGTGTAGTGTGTTGATGGAGGTGGTACATGATTCATGTAAGGATAACCCCTGGTTGAAGAACACAAGCCAGATACGTACATAGATACATGGATGGCATGGAAAATGTAATAGAGCTTATAATTAATTTAATTGACATGCCAGTCAAAATCGCGACAAAAAAAAATAAAAAAAAAAAAAAAAGAACCATCACAGTAAAGGGAGGCTGACGGGCTGAAAAGGAAACACTAAAATACTAAAAGACTAAAAAAAAACAAAAGACATCCACAGTAAACAAGAGCGAGCGCACGTGTGGTTGGTTGAAAATGGGAAAGAGAAAGTCCAACAGAAACCAACTCCACTATTTCTGGAATCTCTCCGTCGTCAGCAGCAGTGGAAAGTGAACCCCAGCAGCATCATCGCTGTTCCGTCTTGTCTCGGCTCTCTCTCTTGCCTGGCCGTGATTCTTAGTTAGCCCTCCTGCCAACCACCACCCCCCGGGGTTTCCACTCATTCCATTCCTTCAGTCTTTCAACTTCTTCCTTTCCCAATTCTATGCATTAATTTTTCTCTTCATTTCTATCGCCCTATCATTACTATTACTACTTTACTTCGAAAGTTTTTTGCTCTGCCCCTCCTTGGCTCTCTTCGGGACTGCGTTTTAACAGTACTAAGTAGTACTGTTCACTACTGCTAACTAACTACTAGTTAAGTAGTTTGTGGTTGTGGTTTACTTGGTCCCCTCACCTGCCCTGCCCTGCCTTGAATCTCTCCACGCCCGCCCGGAATTCTCAACGCGGCCTCCCTCTCTCCTCCATAACCCTTTCCATCGACCTCGCACCTGGCGATGTGACCGTCTTCAATTGGCGACCATTACGATATTTTCGGATCACTGCTTTTTCGCGTTGGTGATTGACGACCTCCACCTCCTTTACACCACCCCCCCTTTTTCTAAACGACCTGCGCTCCTCCGCCCAGCGATCTTGCCCCCACCTCCTTGCGCTGCCAACTTTTCCCCTGCCTCACTCTCCCCTTCCGCTGGTTCGCGATGCAAATTGGTCTGCCCGACCGGTGACATATTCGCTCAAATCCCCCCCAGAGCTTGCCGTCGCCATAACTCCGATCGCAAATCCGACTGAAGCCGTGTTATACCTACCGCTGTGGGACGATCGCCAAGTATCAATCGAGCAGTATCGGATGGGTCTCTCAAGCACGCTGCGCTGCAGGATTACATAAAACACTATTCCTGGAAATCGTCGTCACTATGCATTGGAAAGCACTGCGCCTCGGCTCCTCCGACAACGAAGCCAAACGACGGAGCTATCTGTACGATCCACCGCAATCCCGTCACAGCGAACAGCTGCCTCGTCCGACGCTCTCGACGACCGCCCTTGCCCCTAGACATTCCGAATCTGCTCCACGGTCACCATCGCTGGCTGGTCCAGATGACGCCGAGCACAACGACGACTATAGGGCTGATGGTCCTAGCCTCACACAAAGTCGCAGTCGCGCTGAAGAACCCACCGTGAAGCCCAGAAACACTGGGAACTCACTGTTGCCGGGCAGCGGCCCGAATTGGCGCATGAACCGTTTCAGTTTCATGAGGCTTCGTCATGCGTCGGACCCGCAATTGTCCAAGTCGTACGCTAAAGCAGAGCAGGAGATCCCTCCTGTGCCATCCTTGCCTCCGCGTAAGTCATTCATCATCTCAGAGTCTACGACTTTCGCACCTCTTGTTTCCCGCCCGACAATTTGGCTTTGTTGACTGACCTTTCAATGCCTCTGCGCTTTATAGCTACAATCATCACGACCGCGCCGACAAGCCATGAACTCGAGGAGCCGGTAAAGCGAAAGAACAAATTCAAACTGTTCCCCGATTCGAAAACCCCGACGGTGGAAGAAATCCCCCCACAACAGTCCACAATCAATGGGAAATCCAGGCATACTGCCCAGGGCTCGACGGGGTCGCAGACGGTGAATCCAGGCCGACCAGAGTCTCGAGTTAGCGGCGAGGAACCGGGTCGTCTATCGACTACATCCATACGGAGCAGTGGTCGTGATCAACCTGGTGACTCCCATCGCTCTTCTGTGACAGATGCACGGTTTTCCGAGTCATCCCGTTCTGATCAAGATCGTGGGGATCATGGCTCTTCGGCCTCGCGTGGAATTCCAACGAGCGAGGGTTCAATTTCCAGCACAAAACGATTCCGTATGCCTCGCTTGAAGAGGAACAAGGGACCCCTCTTTCCCTTGCCCCCCAAGCCAACAGCTTCGCAGTCGCTCAATGGACGTGCGCCCAAGTCGATACCGGACTCTTCGATTCCCACGTCGGATGTTTCCGATGATCATGACCGGGATCACGTCTCTCCACTGCCGTCGCCGTCGCGCTCCTCAGCTGGTGTCTCCTCTCCTCGGCCCCCTCTGTTGAGAAAGGACTCGGCAAATTCCGCTCATTCAAGCCATTCAACGCCATCCATTCGGACACGTAAGCCGCCTACCACGCGGGCTCGCTCATCTACGTTGGATTCTTTGGCCAATATCCGGGACAATGAGCCGCAACAGTCGCCCCACCTCACTTCGTCTGGACGAACGTCTACTTCAACGAGTGGACGGAAAAGTTTTGGCGATATATTCAACATCCCACAGCGGCTGCGGCAGAACTCGGAGCCCCCGTTCCCCAGGAGTGGGTCTCCTGCGGCCAGGGGCGCGGAGACTCCGGTCACCAAGTCGCCTTCTTACCCAGAAAGACAGGAAGGTGATACCCCGACTACGTATTTGGAGCGGCTTGAGGCAACCGTACCCAAGAGTGTAATTGCCAGTGTACTCTCTCAATCGAACGATGAGTTCTACAAGAACGCTCTGCGCAAGTACATGAGAGGATTCTCCTTCTTTGGTGATCCGATCGATATGGCCATTCGGAAGCTATTGATGGAAGTGGAACTACCAAAGGAGACCCAGCAAATCGACCGTTTCCTCCAGAGCTTCGCTGACCGATACCATGAGTGTAATCCGGGTATCTTTGCGAGTACTGGTATGTCACCTTAGCACCCACATTATGGAATACTCTAACTCCTGTCCTTTGCAGACCAGGCATATTTTATTGCGTTTTCGATCCTGATCTTACACACGGACGTCTTCAACAAGAATAATAAACGGAAGATGCAGAAACCAGACTATGTCAAAAATACCCGTGGAGAAGGCATTTCAGAAGATATCTTGGAGTGCTTCTATGAGAACATCTCCTACACACCCTTCATTCGCATCGAGGACACGAATCCCAACGGCCGCCACCTTCCAAAGCCTCGCCGAACATTGTTCAAGACGGCCAGCTCCGACCACCTTGGTCGATCTAGCAGAGAGCCTGTTGATCCATACACCTTGATCATGGATGGAAAACTCGACTCTCTTCGACCAAGTCTCAAGGATGTGATGAACCTGGACGATCCGTATCGCTGTAATGGAACGGATGGACCGCCAGATATTGAGAACCTCCATCGTGCCTTTTCCAAAGCCGCTGTGCTGCAGATTGTCTCCCTGCGTTCACGGCCTGATGCATTTATGCCTTCGAGTATGGAAAACCCGATAGATTCCAACCCAGGCCTGGTGGATATCAAAGTAGCCAAGGTCGGATTGCTTTGGCGCAAAGATCCGAAGAAAAAGAAGGCTCGATCCCCATGGCAAGAATGGGGTGCCCTCTTAACGTTCTCGAAGCTCTACTTTTTCAGGGACGTCAACTGGGTGAAGTCATTGATGCACCAAGAGGAGTCCCATCACAAAGAAGGTCGCCGTCGAGCTGTTGTATTCAAACCGCCTTTGACCGACTTCAAACCTGATGGGATCATGCAAACTGATGATGCAGTGTCTTTGATCGACAGCGGTTATAAGAAGCACAAGCATGCATTTGTCTTTGTTCGGCACAACGCTTTGGAGGAAGTATTCTTAGCCAATAGCGAGTCGGATATGAATGATTGGCTGGCCAAGCTCAATTATGCCGCAGCCTTTCGAACCACTGGCGTCCGGAGCAAGGGCATGATGGCTACTGACTACGAAGCGCAGCGAAATCGAATGAGCCGCCGGGGCTCTAGTGTTTCTCTCAACGAAAAGGAACCGCCGTCGCCAAACCCCGAGGCAGATATGGGGGAAGACCTAATCGTCGCGCGGGGACATCTGATGCGCCAGAAGATCCGAGAGGCCAATGAGAAACTTTTCGTCAGCCAGCGACAGCTTGACGATCTGCTCAGGAACGCTAGGCATCTGCAGGTTCTGACTC